TTTCCCTTTCCAGGGAATAGCAACATAAACGAACCTTACAATCTGTTGTTAAAACTCATATAAACAGCCTTAATACCAATCCTTAAGAGAAAGATAATTAATTAAAAAAAGGTCATAGAAAGTTATTTTGCTTTTAAAGAGATTGGGTTCCAAACAGGAGGCCTAAGACAAAAGTAGGAATTAGACAATTTTACGACAAGATAATCTTACAGAACTGCAACAAGCATTCCAGATGCATTCTGTCTTACAAGAAAAAGAATTTTTTATTAGTTGAAAAGGAAAGAAAAACACCCACAAGTACATACTGATTTCCTGGTTTAGTGAAAATCAGGAGGTTAGCAGTTCAGCTTAAGATGTACTCGATGTTTTACTGCAGGAACAGCTAATCTAGGTATTCAGCAGAACAATGAATCTGTGGGATAGATTCTTATCTAGTAATACATCTGTGTAGCTCCCTTAGCAATAATCCCTTAATTCTCTTCTGACATATTTGATTATTGTCTGTTTTTAAATGCATCTGTTTCTAAAGAATGAAAAATTAATAGCTAAATCCCCTAATACCTGCATTCAGCAACTGACACACATACCCACATTTATGTATGTGCAAACAGTATGTCACATCAAGCCTTTTTTTAAAATTTGAAATTGTCTGTCTAAAGAGTAGATGGAGTGAGCATACCAGAAAAAATTGTTACTGTGCTTCTGAGATTTTTTTTAACCAATTAACTGCAGTTAGAATGTATATCTAATTTCCTCATAATATTCCAGCCTTCACATAAGTGATATTGTAAAAGGCACAGAGCCAAACAGAGCAAGCTCTTACTCTGCCCCACAGATACAGCCCAAGAATCACATAGGTTTTGAACAACGGAAGAAGGTGCTTTCAGTCCTATGGCTTTAGGATTGCAAAGGCCCACTGCCACCTCCACGGGTGCAAACCCAACAGAGAAACCTTGTGGCTGTTCCCAGCACCTGGAAGAGGCGCAGCTTTTACCCACTATTAATGTTTATGTTCCCTTAACTGCATATACCAGCAGATTATTTTCTTGTATGTGCCAATTTCTAATCTGGATTACTAAAAATAAACTCTAGATTCTGGCTTCTGAGTTCATTGGGGTTGTTGAAGAATCAAAGGATTCCAGCTTTATATCAAAGTAGCTGGGCTCACATTGAAGAACTGGTTTCCATTACCGGTGCTCATCTTTCCGCCTTTGGTGTTAAGGGGATGCAGTGGTTTTGCACCAGTCAGTGCTCAGCAGTGTCCCTGCAAGTCCATATGGGGCTCAGTGCACTCCAGAGGGAGTTCACCTCAGCTTGAGGGAAGGTGTTTAATGAGCCCTTATGTCATTTAGTTTATTTGTTTTCTTAAAGAAACAGGCCAAAGGAAGGCATCAAAGTCTCAAGGAAATTAACTTCTTCAGAAGGCATCAGTTTTGGGAAAAAGAATGGCGAGCCTGATGCCAAAAGGCAAAGACAGCTCTTAAAAATAACAGTGTTGGAGAGGTGAGAATCCCTTTTTAAATTATGATCTATTAGCTAGTAATAACTCATTGTTATTTGACCATTTTGCAGGCATTCTGCACCATGCTCACAATTACATTATTGAGGCCTTAAAATTTGGATTTCTACTTTGAATTCTCTGAAAAAGTGTCTTTGCTAAAAATATGAATAGCAAATTGAATATCAAAGAAAATTATCAACAAATTTGAAGTCTAGTGGATTAAGCAAAAGGCTTGAAGCTGTGGTTGCTGACAAGTGATTTCAGCAATACACTCAGTGTTGTACAGAGTTATTTCATTACAAAATTGTCAAATACTCTTGTTGGTATTTTGTGACTGCAAGAATGGAATGATTGTTTTTATCCTGTAGCATTAAAAAAAATTGTCTGTTGAGAGGGCCTCAGACACAAGATGCTTCACCTTGCTCATAATTCAAGAAGCAGTAGTTTTGTCAATATAAATTATTAAAGAAATTAAAGCTCAGAAAAATTAATCAGCCAAATGAAGCTCATAAACAATACTCGTCAAATTACTCATCTTAATTTATAGCACTTAAACAGCAGCAAAGCCTCTCAGCCACACCTGAGATTTGTGTCCCACTGAGCTAGACACAGCACGTAACATTGATAAAGCAGGCTTTCCCTTGAAAAGTTAGTAATTTAAATCAATGCAAAGTAGATGTATTTGGGAGGGTGGCAGAGAGGCAAAAAATATGCAGCTGTTGCCTCCATTTTCCACAGGAGAAGCAGCAGCAGCAGGAAGCAGCCAGGTGGCTTTCCCAGAGCTTCCCCGGAGCATTGCAGCATACGCAGAAGAGAAATTCATAATATTCTGCCCCAACACCCCAGTCACGAGGCCTGAGACTGGAAATGTCTTCAAATCTGAATGCCTTCAAGTTTCCTCGCAGGAGCAATTATGCCGCTATCTCTTAGCAAAAAGGGAAACGACGATGAGTTGCCTGCTATCTGCCAGATGGGCTAAATGAAGCAGTTTCTTCTGTTTCAGTAATGCTGTGGACTAGAATTGGTCCAAGGACCTGAAGCTTATAATAATCAAATGCCAAAATATGTACATACCCGTTTTAAAAATGGCTTTTTCACTGGGTAAGCTGCAGCCTGTGCCATTCACAGCCATGACCCACACACTATAGCAGCGATCTGGCTCCAGGTCCTCCAAAATGCAGTGGCTCTCCTTCACCGTCACTCTGTACTCTTCCACCAAAGCTAGGAGGAACAGACACATGCACAGGACGTCACACTCATGTGTTGTACTGGTAAGGCCTATAATTGCGCCTCTCAGCTAACGTGAAAAACAGTAAATTAAAAAAAAATCCAGAATGCATTACTAGCCAAGATCTCCGTATTTTACTCTTACTCAGTTTTGACAGAAAGTTTCTGACGTGCCCTTGAGTTGAGTGCACTCAAACCCCACTGATGGCAAGGGGAGATTATGGCCTTCATCCTACTGAGGACTAGAGTGCAAATTTGGGACATACAGTCAGCAGTTATCAACCCCGATTTCACCACTCTATGACATACCAATTTCTCATAATGGACTTTATAGCTCTTAGCTAGGAATCAGCTATTACAAAAAGCCCTTAACATCCTTTAGCATGGACACACAGATGCCCTTGCACACATGGGATTTGTGCAGAGCCCAGTTGCGTAAAGTGACTTTAAGATCAGTCTGAGCTTTTCAATGAATGAGCATTTCAATCCCCTTTTCTCAATTTCATATTTAACATTTGAAATATTTTAATATCATTTTGAAAAATTCTTTATCTACATGTGGAAATATTGTGGAAATACTGATTATCTTTTTCTGCAATTTTTTTTGCTAGGACATATTTCTGAAGTACATGCAGGGCCCCAAAAACCTAATGAAGCTCATCCCATTGGGAGCTCTATCTGCAGTCCCCATGAGTACCCACGGGGCAGCATGGACACAACCTCTCTGAAGGTCAGGCCACTTCATAAAGGGTCAACTCAACAGGGATGTTGTTGCTTCTCTGCAAATAATTGCCCTGCACTTTACAGACCATGATATTTATCTTGCATTTTGGGAAATGTAGGGGAGGACAAGGAATGCCATCTATTCCACCATTACCCATCCTTAGTCCTATGCATGATGTCTTCACATGCCCTCTTCTCTCTGCACCCTGGGCCCTCCCCTGCAGCTTGGCCTCCCCTGGGCTGATCCCAGACCAGAGTAGAAAGGACTCCTGCCGTCATGAAGGCAAGATGTTACACACCTGCTGCATCTTTGCTGGCTTGAGGCTCCTCCATACAGTAGACCTGGAAGCAGTCGATGGCATCCCCGTCGTTCACAGCCCAGTAGATGGCAATGGAGGTGCTGGTCGCCGAGTTTGGTTCCTGAGGCACAACTGTCGGTGTCTGTGGGACTGAGAGAAAAATCTCCCATTGTTATTCACATTCCCATTTTTTTCAGTCAAATTACCTACAGGTTTGTGAGGTAACCCAGTTGCTTATTTCCACAGACCAAGTACAGCATGTAAATGAAATATGGAATACTGGTGCAGTTTTAGAGCAATAGGTCCTCCTAAACTAGGAACAGAAAAAAGTAATCGCTCAGCATTGGAATCTGTCCATTTCCCTCACAGTCTGGACAAAATTAGATCCAGTCTTAGTACTGGGACCACCTGAACCCGGCGCAAAGCTTGTGCCCACGCCCTGTCCAGCTCTTGGGGTACTTCCCCATGGGGCAGGACCATCATGCAGATGAGTCATGGCACAACTGTTCATTTGTGACCTCCAGCAGGCAGGCTCCCAGGGCTGTGGCAATCCTGGACACGCAGAGCTGTCATACAGCTCCAGCAGTGCCCCTCCTTTCCCCAAGGGACCTGGTCCCTTCAGTCACAGGGAGAGCTCTCCAGCTCTGCCCTCCACTTTGAGGTATATGTCTTGATGATATCTCAAGAGACTCCTGATAACTTCAGGCCACCTCCTCAGCAAGGCCACAAGACCCTGGAGCCTAATGCAGGCTCCTTTGGGTGGCTGCCTGCTCCATTATGTGACCTTGCCTTGCAACATAGGCACCAGAGGAGAGGACACCCTATGAAGAGGATGCCCATGAAAGCAAAGACTGAAAGCCCTTGTTTGTAGCAAACAGCAGGGGACAGTTCACTGATGGGGAGTGGGAGCTTGCAGAAGAAGGCCTCCTCCAGAGACAGACGTATGTAGCTGATCCCAGAAAGGTGGGCAGGGAAAAGGACCTGTCACACCAGGAAAGGATTCATGCAGTGTGTCAAATCCACTGACATTGACGGCAGCGGGGATGCGCTTTAGGCAAACGAAGGCTCTAACAGCACTGTGGAGCAGGAGGCTCCTTGTGGCCTTGGGTCCACCCCTGCCCAGAGGTAGACTCCTACTGCAGGTGCACAGCTAGGTGCTCCTGCCTGGCATGGTCATTTTCCCCCACAGATCCAGTGGACAGAGACTCCTTGGTGCACAGGTGAACACGAGCTCTGCCAAAGCACCTGAATCCCATGGGATAACCAGGAGCATCCTTCACAAAGATTGCTTCAAAGACCTCCAAGACTCCCCAAATTTCATATAAACTTTGTCTCCTGATCAGCATAGATCCATCCCTGATGAGATATTGTTCCCCTCTATGATTATGGCTTAAAAGAGAGGGAGGGGAAAGAAAGAAGCAAAAAGCTCCAAAAGATGTTAATTGTTAAACTGATTACAGGGAATGAAAATACATGGTTCTGTTTCTTCACCCAGTAGATTTCCATATTTCATGAATTCCCTTAGAATCTCAGCAGAAAGCTTTTGCTTTTTTTCAGTTAGCTTCACAGCAATGATGTTGATCCCCTGTGGCATGAACAAGGCAAATGCAGATGCTGGCTGTTTCCTTATGATTTATACAGAGAGCTACCAGTACAGTAGGATTACATCTGCTTCCCATTGAAAAAAAATTATCCTTCTCATTGCTAAAAACAATCCGCATTTTGTCTTTTGGCTGCATCTAGAGTTGGTGAATTTAAAAAATTGATCGTCTTTAGGAAAAGACTCCTTTCAGTGGACCCGGTGGGGAAATCAGCTTTTTTTTCCACTGTGAAGTTGCCTAGAAACTGCTATTTATGATCACAGAAACCCCACAACTGCAAGAGGAATTATTATGCCAAATCTGAATAGAAGCTAGCTTAATGAATGAAACTTCTGAAAAAAAAGTTATGATCAAAATTCAGTTTGGTAACATTGAGAAACATTTGATTTCAAATTTCCTTTTGCATAATAGGAAACGAACTTTTGAAAGGAAGTAATTTCAAAGCAAGAAGTTGAACTATTTTCTTTAGAAACAGAACATTTATGTGTTATCAAAGTGCTGGCCCCTTTTTAAATGAATTTTAGTCAAAGAAATGAGATACTTGCACCACAAGCTTGATTAAATCATATTTTTCAACAGAAAAGTGTGACATCTTCTCATCAGTCCAGTTTTCATTGAAGTGCTGTGATGTAAGGAAGTTTTTCCTTCATGCTACCTAATCCCCACAGTCCCCAGGAGAAAAAAAAATAATCCCATAACAATTTTATGGATATTCACCCCTTTCCAATGTAATGAGAACTATATTATCTTGGCTTTGTGGACTTGAAGAAGGAAAGCAGTTACATTCCTCTGTGACTCCAAGGGATGATTGTTACAATTGGCAAAGGTCCTTGCCTTCTGGTATAGAAGGGCAGGACTCATGGAAATAATAATTTTTCAATTTTTAAATTATTCCCACTCTTCTTGTGGTAGAACCTGGGTTCCGATATGCTCAATGGTATGTTGCAGGGGTTTTTTTATGCTTATGCATTTGTTAATGGAGCTGGCTTACACGACAGGAGCAAGAATTTGAGGGAAAAGGGCTTCTCATTAGTGGATATGGAAAAATTGGAAACTGAGGGTATTTTGGAGGAAAAATGTTTCTGAAATGGTGAAAATAAAGTTCTATGAAATTGTTCAGTAAAAGACTATACTTTCTGAAGGAAAAAATTGTGGATTGGAGAAACATGGCAAATTCACATGTATTTCATCAAATAGCTTCAGTCAAAAAAAATTCTGAGAGTATCTGACATTTTCCTCTAGTATGCGATAATTGATGTACTCAAGGTGTTCAATTTCAAATAAAGTTTCCTGTAGGCATTTACCTCTATTTTCCTTCATGAAGGGTGTAATCTTGAAAAAAAAATAAATTTGTCTACTGCTTACCAAAGTAAAAATCACAATAGTAGCTGAAATATTTGGTAGTGGAAATGAAGAATGAAAACCAGGTATTTTAGAAAAAGAAAGAGAAGAATGTATAAAGGATGAAGAGCTTTGAAAGTGGCTTGCTAGTGGACAGTCATTCATTTCCAGTTTGTCAAAGCAAACTAGTCTGGAGCCATTTGGTGTTCAGCAAACACAGTAGCTAATGCAAATCAAACAAAAAAGTGGATCTCAGCATTTTAGGGAAAAAAACATTTTGGAGTGACTTGTGGGAAAAGGAAATAGAGCATGACAAACTGAAACTGTCCTCCTGGATGACCTTGCCAGTAGGTAGCAGCCCAGGAGGAAAGAATGGTTGCACTCACAGGACTACAAGAGGAAGTTTAGTAACTAAACCAAAACGTGTAGCTCATTTGCACCACTAAGTTAACTCTGAGACTGGGTTACAAAAAAGATCTTTTTGTCTGACTTCCTAAAAAAATGAAACTGAGATAATGCTGCATGCACAAGTGCCTGTCCACATTCACCTGGGAAGCTTTGAATGTCGCAGGCAATTTCAAACAAATCTGACAAGGACATTAAGGTCTTAGAGATACTCAGTTCTTCTAGGTCTACTAAAAGTAGTGGTGTTGAGGAGAGAGACAATGTCCCCACAGTGACACTGCTGAGTGCACTCAGCTCTTATTAGGCACCGGAGAGTCTGCAGAAGACAGCACTTCTCCTGTGTCCCATTAGGCACCTGAAAATTCAGCCAGGAAACAAAGCACTTTAGGGAAATCGGTGCTCTAGTTCCAGTGCTCAGGGACCAAACATGTGAGAAAGAGGCTTCTCTTGAAAAGCCAGAGAGTGCCTACGATGGTGGTGGTGCATGTGATGGTGAATGGGAGGTCACAAAGCATGACAGCGAGATGCAAGATCCCTAAACAAACCTTCTCTTGAGAAAGAAACACTGGAGCAAGACCCTGTTATGAGGAAAATGAATTCACAAACTGGGGCTGACAAACTCTTCATTGACAGCTGTCCTGATCCAGATAATTTCTATAGGTGTATGTACAGGCAAAGTAGGAAGCCCACACAGGCAGGTTTTTTACAGGACATGAAATATCAGCTAGAGATGAATAGACCCCTTTACTATGTGCAATTTTCACTGCTGCCCTCTGAGGCAGAGGCTGATTCCAGCTACAGTTAACCACTTTCCCTTCATGTCCCGTGGGGGATTCAGGTTCCTCTGTTCACTTGGCACAAGCCCAGGGACCTCGGCTCTCAGCCAGCTCCCTGCCCTCCTCCCCACACCAGCGATATTGGGACTGCCTTCCTCGGAGGAAGAGAGCTCAGAAGACCCTTTGATTGCGTCTTCTGTCCCGCCTGCAAGGCAACAGCAACTTCTTTAGCCCTGAGAGATTTACAGATAGAGACCGTCCGCTAGTCTGAGGTACAGATAATCTGAAACGATGCAAGAATCCCCCACTTGAGCACTTCTCCCTCTGTTGCTCATCTTAGTGTCCTACTATAAGCCAAACACTTGTGCACAATTAGACTTCATTTTACATTCAACTCTGATTGCTAATTACATGGTTTGCAAATTTATACTTCTCAAATAGATTCTGTTTTTAGCTTCCTAAAATTTCCAAAGCATTGCCAAAATGTTAGCTTTTGTAAAGATGATATTCAGAGATTCTTACCAGCCACATGTTTTAATGAGTGCTGGTTGCTTTGTCCCGGACTGTCCGCATAGTGCTCAAACAGTGAAAAAGCACTGGGCACCTTTTCTAAAGACAGGGTAGTATCCATTGCAGAAAGTAACCTATTTGGAAGAAAACACATAGTTGTCTGTGTAAATCCCTTGTGGCACCACATAGTTTTCCAAAGGCACAAGCAAACATCATGCGACGCATGCTTCTCTAAATATTTCCCATGAACTTGAGGACAACATGCAAGGAGAAGGTGTTTCCCTGATTTTGAACATTTAGAGCATACTGCAATTTTGGACCAGGAGCACAGTAAGAGTGCACATGGTCTGTATACACTTGACCCATGAGAATGTGAGGATTTGAAGTTCACAGCAAGACTCCCAAGAGCACAGGGGTTCAGACTTACTAACACAATGCCTTTAAAGGTTACAAACCTTAGAGCTAAACTGCAGCAGCTGACTCTAGAGATGTAATGCAAAGCAGCTGCTTGTGGCAAGCAAAAAAAAAAAAAAACATGAGAAGGAAGATAGATAGATTCCACTTAATTAACCCGTATTTGCTGAGTTCATAATAGGAAAAAACCCAACATATTTTTAACTCTGAGGCAGAAGCTGCTTCAAGGAAATGAAAGATTTTTTTTTCAAGGCAATTGAATTCTATGTTCTTCTTTTTCAGTCACCAAAGTAGTAAATTCTTAACAAATTCTTAACAAAGCACAACACATAGAAAATATACTTTCTTTAGAAAAACATGCATTGTTATATGGACTTGTTCTTAATCTTTTTTAGCAAGTCAGGTATTATCAAAGTAAAGTAATAACCAAATGCATGCACAAAACAGAATAAACTTTAAGTTTAGTGTGTAAGTAAACAAGTAAAGACCATGTATACAGAAAGCCTTGGAAAATTCTTTTGTCCCGTTATACCTGCTCTACTCTTACACAATAAACTACATGCAGATATGTGGCCAAACTCTCAAATTTTGAATTACAACAGGGGAGTCCAAATTTATAGTCCTAATTCTGCAGATTAATAGGAACCACAAAGGGGTGTTCGGCACCTTCTATTCAGACCGCTCTCCTGGGGTTGTAATTTGACTGCAGAATGGATCCCTTGTGTCATTGTGATACCCCAGTCCACATCAGCATTCCTATCGCTGTGATGGATGAAGCAGCACTGGCAAGGGTATGTTTGATACATGCTGTGCAATGCCCAGGCCCTTTGGGGAAAGTCAGTGGTGGTGGTGGTGTGGGCAAAGCAGGTCTTGGGGCTTGCATAGGAGCAGCCTGCAGCCAGCCTTTCTGAATATCTGTAGTGCACCTTGGAAAATTTATTGGGGGAATATGCGCTTATAATCAAACAACTTCTCTTATGAAGGATGGATCTCACCAAAATGAATCCCTTGAGGAAATCACACATGGCAAAGAACTGTTTGCGACTCTATGTATTTATTGGTAGGTGCAGGCAGGCCAGGATTCAGCTGTGATGAGGCATCAGCCCTCTGGCACATCCTGAATCAGGCAGTGCCAATGAAGAGGCATGGGAAAAAAATCAGCCCATAGTCTCCTGGTAAGCTTTTGAAAACTACTTAATCTCATTTTTTTTTTCTGGTATTGTGTTCAGAAATACAGTCCAACGACCCCAGCCATCTGAGTGACACTTTGTATTATAACCTTTCAGAGACCAGGTAATACAGAACCAGACTAGTGAAAAAAAGAACATACTAGTGATGTCTAAGAGATGGAAGCATAGTCAAAATGTTTTTTAGTATATGTGTGTATAATAATAACTACAAGGAACACCTGTTTAAAAATGTCTGTGTAGAGATCTAAAATTGAGCTGACATTTTAAAATGCTATTTGTTTAATTGATGTATTACAGAACATGTGCAAAACAATTCAAAACCAGTCAGTTACAGCAACAAGTATAAAAACTCTTAATTTCATTATTTGCAAGGTTTATAAAAGTAGCCATGAATATTAGCAGTGTGTTTTCAAAGCTTGCAAACGCTAAATGAAGCATCCAGCACGCTAGGCCTAGTACTCACTACGGTGCACTTAACCCACACTTCATATACCTTTTATTCAATTCTTTAGATGACTAGAGGAGGAAAAAAAAGAAATATATTAACAGTTTTCAAAAACCTGAAAATGTTGAAGAGCCACTCATCTAACAGTCTTGCTACTCTCCACAGACATAAGGCTTTATTGACTTGATGTTATCTGGGATGCTGCTCATTCACACCAGCAGAGAATTTGTTTCCTCAAGTATATTCCGCTTCAAAGCTCTGGCTCAGCAGGCTATTAGAGCCTAAATCTGGTTTTAAGCTCCTGAGGGTCAGTATTCAATATCAAGGTTTAAAGACCAGAGCACAGTCAAATACTTTCTTATACCAAGGCTTTTACAGAAAGAAATCACCTGCACATTAAGAACACTTAAATCCAAATTCTGGCTGAAATCTCCTTCATAACTTCTTATCACTAGAAGCTGGGTGAGATTTATACGCATGGAGTGAGAGTTTCTCCTGTGTTCCACGAAACTTCAACTAACGTTTACTGGCTCGTGGACAGAAAAGTTCCTGTCCTTTATCACTAACAGAAAGGGGCAAGGAATCTAATAATTTTCACACTCTTCAAAGGAATTTCAGATTAAAAAGTTATCTTTTTGCCAAAGCACTGATCCAGTACCTCACAAAGTTCAGGAAAATAAGCTATATTTTTCATCCATACCAGAACAGCCAATCTACAACAGCATTCACTTGGTTACCGGACACAAAGACATTGCTTATCCTGGAGGAGGGTAAAAAACCAAATATTGTTCCACCATTTCTATAACTGCTGGTATACGGGCTGGGGGATTGTATTTGGAAAGCTGTTTTATTTTGCATGAATGGTCAGTCTTTAGGCAGTAATTTAAACTTTGAATTTATGGCATCCCAGGATAGTTTCTCTGCAACTTCCAGACTACATGCTAATTCAGTAACGGGACAAGATTATTGTCCCAGAAATCTCATCCCCTTGAAGACTGCTGATACACTTCCATGGAGAAGAAAGTGCCACAGCTCACTTATGGACAAGTCTTGCAGCACTAGAACAATCTTGGAAGACCCAGGCCTTTAGTGATTAACCTGCAAGACCCTTTAAAATCAGTTTATGACTGATGACTGTATAAGATAGGTAAATCCAGTCATGCAGATTCACAAAGATTTTTTTTACATCCAGAAAGAGCCATTACAGACATGCACCTCACATGCGCATTCCTAAACCTAGCCCACTGTCACAGTTTAACCCCAGCCAGCAACTAAGCACCACACAGCTGCTCACTGTTTTTCAGCAGTAAACCTTTATCACAGCCTCAGTAATTTGAATGCATAACTACTGTCTGTGTCTGCTCATTTAAAAAACACAAAAAAACCCACAACTCAATGACTCTCCTTCAGATAATTCTCAATTACGCTTTCTTGTTTCACCTTTATTTTTCATATAGTAAAGTACCTTTACTCTAACATTTCTTACTCCTCGGTGGATAATTAATTCTAGATAAATTATCAAACTGTCTCTTAGCCTTCTCTTCACAAAAAAACCCAAAAAACCCCAGAACTATTTTAATGGTGTAAGTCATTTTTTCATCTTGCCCATCATCTTTGCAATTCTCTCTGAGCATTCACATGACAGAAGCAAATGATCTAGCAGTCTCAGAGGGGAATAACTGAGCTTGCAGGATTTAGTGATCTTAAAAAAAAAAGGAAAGTAAATAACTCATTCTCAGCCTCGGTACAGTGTAAGTACTTTCCTAACTAGTATCATAAAAGCTACAATATGATAGCCATTTTTACTTACACTTAGGAAAACAAATCCATCAAGCTCTTCCATTTCTTTTACCGTTGCCTCCAAAATTTCCTTTGCTGAATCAACGGTTTGCTGGAAGTTAACCATCTGCTCATACAGGTACTCCATTTTCATCTTCTTCACTTCCTCAAAGTTCTCTGATTTCTCATCATATTGTGCCACCACTTTCTTAAGCATCTCCTCATTCTGCTTTTCCAATAACTCCGCATTTTTCTTACAGTTTTCCTGCAAAACAAAAACAGATGTAAATTGATCTGCAGAATAAAATTACAAGATTTAATGAATATACAGAAATTCTCAATTACCCATACATGAGCTACCCACCAGACTCCTTCTGGCATCCTGACAATAGGAGAACTTTATTTCTGTAAGCAAGCTCATCTGGGAGAAATAGTGCTAGAGAAATACATTCGAAACAATGGCAGATTTTTTTTTTTTTACTGTTGGTGTTTAATTTTAAACTTCTATATTTAAACACTGAGACAAGAATTCTGACTACAAAACGGCTAAAAATCCATACTTTCATCCAAAATTAATATAGTCCTCAAGGCTTAACATCATGGGCATTAAGGACTTATGACACTAGGCAACGCATTTAGATGCTTCACACAGGATTATAAATAAAGACACAAACAGTGTGAGCTCTTTATAAGCATAAACAAAATGAAGGGAACTTTTTCCTCCAGTGTTTGACAGTCACATATTCCACTTTGCAATAATGTGCAAAAAAGTCAACCCCTTCCAGTGGGAGAAGTGAATTTGAGGTCTGGAGAAACAACCCATTTTAGTGGAAGTAATGACGCTACAAAAGAAGGCAAGCATATCTTAGAAGTAATTTTGCAGAGCGAAGGAAAAGTAGTGTGATAGAACACTGAACTTACCTCAACAGAGTTAAATAACGATTCAATATCACTCACAAACTCTTCAATCTTCATTGACTTTTCTTCTACTGCTATTAGCAATTCACTTAAATGATCCTGAAATTTAAAATGTTTCAGTAGCATAAGTATGTTATTTTATAAAGTTTTCACACACAACTTATTTTAGGTGAGTATTCCTGTATTGCCATGAGCCACCATTAGAATAATTGCTAAATTAAGTCCAAGTATCGCCCTGGCTACAAAGACAAACACAGAAATAACAACTGGAACAGTCACAAAACTGTTTTCAAACCAAAAAAAGTGAGGTCAGTTCGACAAGGTGCTGAGTGTCTATACAAGTCGTTGAACATCACGAATTCCAATGCAGCTTTGCTAGAGACTGAGGGTACTCAGAGCCTCATGAAGGTCCTCAAGACATAGCAAGAACAAGTCGATAAAAAGGAAGATAATGCAGGTAATTATGAGGCTAATAGACTACACAGTGTCATGATTTTTTTAAATTAGAATTGTAAAGATATTTCCTATAAACCAGAATTCATCAAAATCACTCATTGAATTAGATGTGGAAGTAAAAGCAGTCCAAGGGACAACAGGCATCAGAGATGACTCAGAGATTTTTCTTAATCCTTCTTGACCTTTTGTGAAAGAAAGCTGGCCATCTGCTCAGGTGCAATTTATAAAAATACTTAGTTTTAATTAGCTGGCATAAATCTAAAAGAAAGGTTAACTTTCTTTGGTAACAGCTTCCTATTATGGCAAACTTCTACAGCTAGTTCTGTTGAAAGCTAGCATATCACTTTCCATTAATTATAAATGTCACATTGGACTGTATAATTGAAAGCTCGCTTTATAAATATTCAGGGCCAATCACCAAGATTCGGAGGCAAACTTCTGTTTGACAAGATAACCTACAAAATCTGACAGACGCCATCCATAGTTCATTTCATTTACTGTGAAGCTATGTTCCTACAGTTAAAATCCAGGTGACAAGCACTTTGCAGTCTTAATGTTTTCTCAGTAATTATACAGAAGTAACAAGAAACGTACAAATACCATCCCAGAGTAACCTGAGCCCCGAGTGCTGGAAATCATGTGAAGCCAAACCTGTGTTGTGGCCAGATTTAATACTGGCTTCATGTCCATGCTTCACAGCCAGGAGTGGTATCATGGGATGTTTATTTGTGTGTTAACTTGACTTGCTTCAATGCAGGTACATTCAAGGGACGGCTGGGGTCTGTGACTTTCTTCCTGACTTACTGGTGGCTAATTATCACTTCGAAGTCAAGCACGAATGGCCATATATAAAAAGCAACCCTGCTGTCATACATCCACACACCATGGAGACAGTTTGTAAATACTGATATTTGAAACTGCCACATTGACTCCTCCTACTTTTAATTTATCTTTTTTGCATATGAGTTAACATAAAGATAACATAAATACCATTGATACAAGCCCTTCTGGAATTTGAAATTACACAAAATCTGTACTACCCTCAACCAAACATGTGCCAGGAAAGAGACCTCACCTTTCAGATACTGGTGTGAAACTAAATAGCTGGTAACCAAGAAAGGAACATCTGTATACTTGTACATGAACAAATGTGATATGGGAACTGTTAGACATCACACGCATCCTGTTTTCACAAGCAGAACTGCAATTTAATGAAGAATAGCTTCCACAGAAACTAAAGCATTTTCACTAATATTGATAGCAAAGGACTAGGTTACTGAAATGGACGGCATTTTTGTATATCTTTTAGAGTGGTACGGCTTAGAGATAGTGGGAAGAAGCAGGACTTGCTAAACTCTTACCTGCGCTACAGCTAAACCACTTTTGGCACAGATGAACATGAACAGACCAGAAAATGAGGACGGCATTTCAACAAACCTGTGTGGTGTAAACTGTGTAACTCATCTAACAACTCCAGCACATGTAACTGGGACAGGGAACACTCTATGATGATACCAGTCCCCACATATGGATGTTTCTGTATGTTGTCAAGTGAAATGAGTTGCTATTATTAAAATTTTCTTTTCATAGAAACAACACTCATCCTATTTCTCCCCCTACACATACAAACCAGAACAAACTTACACAGGTGAGAAGGCTGAAAGATGGAAAGTCTGGTAACAGGTACATATAAACAAGGTCATTCAAACTTCTGAACAAATATAAATATCAACTTAGCAAGCCTAGGGCTCTAAAGAATACCTTAATAAGACAGTCTCCCTTCAAGATCTCTAATAGTTGTTTAGGAATAGGTTCTATTTTATAGATACTGTTACTTAGCCTCCGGACAACTCTCTGAAGCCGCTCCCCTGACAACACAGGAGGTCTGGAGAAATTAGCCTCAGTAGCTCCTTCCCTCACCCAAATTAATTCTCACCTTCATCTTGGTTGCAGCATCATCTAGTGTTGTGACTTCATGGTCTTTATGTTCTCCAAAAAGCTTGTCAATAGCAGATATTGGGCATTTGCAGTGGTAACAATATGTGTCTGCTTGTGCTTTCTTCAGTTCTCTTTGTGGGCTCTCTACTTGAGGAATGTTTCTTGGTGATTTTTCAGGATACATCACCACAAAGCCTGAATCTTCAAGCTCAACAGGTGTTCTTTGCTCTGGCTCATTAACAAATTCATAACTATCACCAGCATGCTCAAAAGAGTCCCTGTCTTCAAATAATAGCTCCTCGTGTGTTAATTGAGATGATATTTCATCTTGCAAAAGTTCTTCTTGTGTAATCACATCATAGTCCATTGACTCAGCAAAATCTTCATAAACATGAGGGTGCTGCTCCTCTCTTTGCGAGTGTGGCTTCTCTGTTTGCTGAATGGTAGGCACACTGGAAAGATTTTCCTGACTATACTGATCATCTTCACTGTCTTCAACAGGAGCCCTGACATATGGGACATATTTTTCCATTTGAGGAACTGCTGTTATGTCATGTTGTTCTTCCTGCTTATTACCAGCTTCTTGATATGCAGCTCCCTGATAATCCACTAGTTGACTATATGCTTGATGACTTGATTGCTCTGGTAACTCCTCAGTTGTTTCTACAGGTACATTTTCTTCTTCTCTTTGTTCAGCAGTTTCAGTTCTTGCACCTGAAAGAATTACTTTGCTTCCAAAAGGAATGGCATGCATTGGTTTACAAATTGTTGCTTGAATGTCACTGTCAACTTGGACTTTCTCGCTCTCCACAACACCTCTTTCTGGCAGAACCTCAGTTCTGACACGTTGAACATCACCAGACCACTGCTTGTGTTTGTCCTCTGGTCTTTGAAATGAAATTCCTCCACTAAAGGACTCATCCTCTGGTATCTGATCCTTTTGAGGCCCTATGGCCTTACTTGGAATTTCATCTTTAAGAATGTATTTTTCAAAATATATTCCCATTCCATCATCTGTGTCTGAATTTCTACTAGGCAAAGATGCATTAGAATTACCACTTTCCTCATCAGAGGGAGTCTCATCCTTTGTCTTTTCTCCTACTGCTTCTGCATAGAGGTCCTTGTATAGAAATGACAGAGCAGGTGGCTCCTCTAGAAGCTCTGGATTAACTGGAGCAACAGTGGTAGGGAACAACAGAGATCGTTCCAGCACTCCTTCTTCTGAATCAAAGAGTGGGGTCCCTGGTGACTTCCGTTCATCTTCCACATTTGTAACCTTTTTACTGCTACTATCAATTGATTTCTGCAGAGGTAAAGGTTTTGGAGCATCTGCGTAGGACTGCATTTTGCTTTCCTCTTTCACAGTACCATAAAAGACTTCATCCAGATCCTCAAGTAAGGAAAACTCTTCTTCCAAAGTATCTACCTCAGTGCTTTCTTTAAAAGATGTGGCTTCTTCCACAGGTGCATTGGGATCTTCTGTCACAGGAAACAATGAACTTGGTCTTTCAAAATGTGGCTTAATCGGGGATTTGTCATCAATCAATGTATATTTTTCAAAATAATCCATATCGGCCGTACCATTATTAGGATCCAACACTGCATAATTATTGTTTCCTGGCAACACAGGATTTTCTTGTTGTGTTTCTCCAGTTTCCTCAACATCATCATTTTTGACCAATTCTTTTACTTCATGGTGTGCAGGCTTTTCCAACACTGAGCTTTCTGAAATTTCTGCAGTTGTTCCAGAAGCTAGGTCTCTATCGCCGTCATCAGCTAATTTTCTTTTAAATGAAGGATTTGTTTCCAAGTATTCTAGTTTGTCTGGCATGTGTTTACTTTCTTCTTGATCAACAGAAGAAATATGTATAGGAGCATGAATATTGAGTATTTCATAACCTTCTGAAATTATATTAAATAGATCTTTTTGTTCAGTAGTTTCTGGAGCATGCTGACTCTCTTCTACAGAGCTTGCATGTTCCATTTCTTCCTCTTCCTCTCTCAGGTAATGTTCAGGCACTTCAGACACTTTGTCTACCTCTGGATGTTGCATTGCTTCTATTTTTGTAGGGTTTCCAATGCTAGTTTCACACTCTGGAACTTTGTCTGGACCTGGATTATCTCCTACCAGAGATAGTAAATCATACCTTTGCATTCTGTGACTAGTGTCTGAGGACATTCTGTGTGAAATTTCACTTGGCACTGAATCAGAAACTTTAAACATATGTTCTTTGTTCTCTGTAGCAGCATGAACTGTAAATTCTGTGCAACTTCCAGCTGGGAATCGTTTTGATCCAAAATCAGAATCTTCATTTTCAGAAAGCTGAATTCCTTGCCTGTCTACTTCTGCAGCTCTTATTGGACTAACTGAGCGAGCTTTCACCTCTTCTGCCAGCCAGCTAGCTAGCCCAAAAGATGGAATATTTGGATTCTGCTTTTCATCAGAACCAGAGCTAACAGACTTAATCTCTGCTGAAGAAAGGCTGCCCTGTTCATCAGAATAATGCTGAGGTTTGTGTGTCACAGTTTCATAAACAAGATCTGATGAATTGGCTCCCAGATGCTCTAAGGATGTATGTTTTTGGTCTGCAAAATATTGCTGCATTTCACATCTATCCTTTCCTTCAGTATAAATGCCTGAAACTATGTTACCTTGCTTTCCAAGCATGCCTGCTACATTGGATAAAGATAATGAAATATTTTTTTCCTCTTCACCATCAGTGAAAGCCACAGATACTGACTTTTCAGGTAGTGTATGAAAAGGTACAAATGAATCTGATGACACTGCTTGCTGGTCTGCTACAGCAATCACCTTTGAATCTGTGGTTACCCACCTTGGCACTGTCTGCACATCAGGTTGCATTTCTTGCTTATCCTGCTCAGTAGTGAATTTGGGGGGACTTCTGAGATGCTCTGATGACAAATACTTTGTGTCCAACAAACGATCTTGAGATTCTTGCTCACTTCGGTCTTCTGTGTGTGTCAGAGGCATATTCTCCAATGGCACTGTCTTCAACCTTGCTGTTTTAGGTGAACAGAGCTGAATTTTTTGCAATTCTCTTTCATCATGTGGTGGAATTACATGCTTACACTCTGATTGTGCAGACTGGGGAATAAGTGGCTTCATGCTTTGCTTTTCTTGTTCAGCAAGAGACCATGCGGGAACCAAATACTCAGAGGCTCGTTTTGAATAAGGCAGAATTTCTTGCTGACATGTTTCATCAGCTGAATAAAATGGAACTGAAGGTTCAGACTCCAGTTTTGAAGGTACAGTGAAATAATCCTGACTTTCTAGAGTTTCTGCTTTTTCTGTAGAATATGATAATTTCAATTGTTCAGATTCTAATTGTGTAGCTGTATGGAAGTAATGTGGAGTCTGTTCTCTCTCTGTTTCAGGTAAAATTACATGTTCAGACTCTGACTGTGCAGCCACAGGCAAATGTAGATGATTTTTTGTATTATCTGCTTCTTTTCCTGCAAAGAAGGAACCTGACTCAGGCTGGGCAGTTTCTGAGTGCTCTGTTTTACAGTGGGTGTAAGATAAACCTAAGTGCTCGGGGGACAGGCCTCCAGTTACAGGTGAAGACGCTGGACTTCCTTCTGGTTTTGTTTCAGAGACAGAATGTGGAACACCCAAAGGTACAGACACTGTTTGTTCACTAAGAGATGAATATGGTTGAATTTTTTGGCTCTCTGCTTCTTCAGTGGAAAAGGATAAATTTTGTTTTCCAGTTTCCAACTGAGCAGTTAAAGATGAAGTAGGCCCAGTTTCTCTCTTCTCTGAATGTCCTGCTCTCAGCGGGGCTGTTTCGTGCTTTTCTGCTTTGTCAGTAGGACTTAATAAATCTGATTGTTCAAAGCCTGGATGTGCAGTTTCCTGCTCCTCGGTCCCACCAAAAGTGTATGATACAGAAGGTGTTTCTGGTTGCCCTGTTTCAACAACAGAGTACTGCAAATTAATGCACGGCAGTTCAGGTTGGGCCCCATCCCTCCATTCTGTTTCACCCGTGCGACATGATGTCTCTGGATGATTCAGCTGGTCAGTCTGTGGTTGCTCTGCTTTGCCATAGGAGTACAATAAATCTGGTGGTTTCATTCCACAAGTCTGTGCTTTGCCAAGAGAATATGACAAATCTGGATGTCTTGGTTTTAGTTGTTCTGGTTGCAAGTGCTGTGATTTTCCTGTGGAATACGAAAAATCAGAAGGCTCGAACCCTGCTTGTGCAGTTTCCTGGCTTTCTGTTTTGCCAAGTGAATGTGATATATCTAGTTGCACTAAGTCTAACTGTGAAGCTGGTTTCTGCTCTTCTTCACCAAAGGAGTGCAAAAAGCCAGGCTGGGCCATTCCTTTTTCCTCTAGTTTGCTAAAGGACTCCAGAAGCTCTGGCTGTTGCAGTACTTCTTGGGCAGGTTGTGAGTGCTCTGATTTGCCAGCTGGATAGGATAAATCCATTTCTTCCACCTCTGGTTGTTCAATTTCATTGTGCTTTTGTCGATCAACAGAATGTGACAAACCTGGGTAGTTTGATTTCTGATGTGAATCTTCCTCCTCTATTTCTCTAACAGGGTAAGACAGCTGCAGATGTCGCAACTCTGGCAGTACCATTTCTTGTTCTCTTTTGCCAGAAGAATACAACAAACCTGTATGTTCCAGTTCACCTTGCACAGCTTGCATTTCGTCTGTTTTACCAAGAGTGTATGTTAAATCTTGTTGCCCTAAGTCCATTTGTGTTGCTTGTTGTGGCAGGGTTTCACAAATGGAATATGATAAACTGGGAAGTTTCCACTCTGGATGTGCCATTCCTTGTTTTTCGGTTTTTCCAATGGGATAGGGTATTACAGGCTGTTCTGATTTCTGTTGTGTAGCCAGTGGTTGCTCTACTTTGTCACTGGAATATGACAAATCTGGATGCTCAACCTCTGGTTGTGCTGTTCCTTGCTGTTCTTTTTCGCCAGTGAAATGCAGCAAGTCCTGATGCTCTGCTTCCACTTGAACAGTGTGTGGTTGCTCTGTCTTCCCAGGGCAAGATGATAAACCTGGTTGTCCTACACCAAGTTGTGTCATTTCTTGTTGTGGTGTTTTATCAGTGGAATATGATAAATCTGAATGCTCCAACTCTTGTTTTGCCATTTCTTGTTGCTCTTTTTTGCCAGAGGGATACAAGAAGTCCAGGAATTCCCCTTCCAGTGGGGCTCTACTTAGCTGCTCTGCTGTGCCATGAGAACTTGAAAACATTGGCTGTTCCAATTTCAGTTGTACTGTTTCCTCTGGATGTAATGTATAGCTTCCTCTCTCCTGTTTGACTTCTAGTTGCGCACTTTGTTTTTCTTCACTAACAGAAGAGGACAAATTCAAGTGTGGTACTTTGTCTATGGCATCCGAGACATCTGGATATTCAGACTCCAGTGGAGCAGCCCATGATGGCTTTGTTTTGACAAAAGAACGCAACAAATTGTGTTCTTCCAACTCTGGCTGTGTTGTTTTATGAGATTCTGCTGTGCCAATAGAGAATGACAAATCTGCATATTCTGATTTAGCTTGGGAATTTTGCAGTCCTTCTGTTTTCCCCAGAACACCCTGCAGCTCAGGGTGTTTTACTTGCATTCCTCCACCTTCCCAATGCTCTTCTTTGCCGAGAGATGATGAAAAATAAGCTGGCTGTTCCTGCTGTGGTTGAATGTTTTCTTCTTGTTGTACTGTGCCAGTGGAATGCAATAAATCCGGATAGTCCAAATCCACTTCAGCAACTTGAGGTTGCTGTGTTTCACCAATTGAACATGATAAATCCATTATTTTTGCCTCTGGTTGTATGACGTCACGGTGTTCTAATCTGTCAGCAGATAAATCTGAATGGTTTGATTTCACATGTGCAGTTTCTTGTTCTGCTTCACTAACAGAATAAGATAACTCTGAATGTCCCAATTCTGGCTGTGATTTCTTGCCTTGTGCAGCTTTTTTGAAAGAATGCGAGAAGCCTGCCTGCTCCTCTTGAGCAGTTTGTACTTGTTCTGTTTTGCCAGGCCAAGACAACAGATCTGTTTTTCCTGACACCAGTTGTGTAGCTTCTTGTGTTTGTGTTTTATGGATGGAATATGATAAATCAGGATGCTTTGGCTCTGGTTTTGCCATTTCTCTTTGCTCCCCTTTTCCACTATGAGATGATGCATCTGGAGCTCCTAATTTCTCTTTTGCAGCTTGTGGATGCTCTGCTCTGCTGACAGACTGTCCCCCATTAGGGTGTCCCAAGGTTGTGTGCTCCATCCCTTGCTGCCACACTTTGTCAGTGGGGGATGCCCAGTCTGTGTGGCCCAGCTCCAGCTCCGCAGGTGGGAGTTGCTCTCTTTTGTCATGAACGTACAACACATCTGGCTGTTCCAACCCCAGTTGGGTCGTTTCCTGCAGTTTGTTGAGGGAACTTGCTAGACCAGGGTGTTTGGGTTTCAGCTGTGTAGTTTGTACTTCTCCTGCTTTGAAAACAGAATAAGGCAAGTCAGGATGTCCCTGCTCTAGTTCTGCCATTTCTTCTTCTTCTTCTGCCGTACCCACAGAATGGGCCAAATATGGAGTTCCCACTTCTGGCTGAATCATCTTCTGTTCTGCTTTTCCAAGGGGGTAGGTTTGCTCTGTTTCTTGTACTTTTTGTCGCATCTCTGCATTGTCCAGAGGATATACCACATCAGTGTGCTCTGCCTCTGGTGGGGCCATTTCATCATCTGGCCTGTCAACAGAAAATGATAAATCTGGTTGTTTCAAGTCCGTATGCACATGTTTTAATCGCTCTATTTTACCAGGAGAATGTGATAACTTTTCTTGCTCTAACTGCTGGTTTGTGGTTTGCTGCTGCTTTTCTCTGCCAACAGAAATTTTTCTGTGTTTCTGATCCAACAGTACTAATTCTTGTTGGTTTGTCTTGTCAGTGGAATGTGACAAATCAGGATGCTTCATTTCCCATGTTGCAATTTCCGGCTCATTTGCTTTGCCAGACGAATATGTCAAATCTGGATGTTTTGACTCTATTTGTGCAGTTGCTGGAGAAGCTCTTTTTCTGGCCAATTTAGGCAATTCTTGATGTTTAGACTCAAACTCTTGGCTTCCTTGTTCTTTACCTTTACCAAAGGAAAATGTTAAATCTGAGTATTTTGAATCCAATTGTGAAGTTTCTTGCTGGTTTCTTTGGCCACCAGAACATGACGAATTTGGGTATTTAGATTCCACTTCCATACTTTCATCTTGTGCTGCTTCACCCAGGGCTCCTGGTGAATCCAAATGTTCTGATTGTTGTTGTGTTTCTTCCATGGAGCATGAGAGCTCTGGACGTCCCGACTCCTGCTCTAAGATATCACCTGGCTTTGCTTCACCACTGTCGCATGAAAAATCTGGACGTTCCATCACCAGTGGTGCAGTTTCTTGTTGCTTCAAACAAAATGGTAAGGTTGGATGTTTCAACGTTTTTTGTTGTTGTGCTTCATGAAAGAAATATGACAGATCTGGATATTCTGAACTCACTTCCATTTCCAGTGCAGCCTCTTTGCCACTGGAAGATGGCGAAAATGTTTGCTCCAGCTCTGGCTGTACTATTTCTTGTTGCTCTGTTTTGCCAGTAAAACATGAGAGGAATGGTTGCTCTGATTTGTGTTGTGTCATTGCCTCGTGCATTTCTGTACTTACATAAAATGTCTCTTCTGGATATGCTGGCTCTGTTTGCATTTCTTCTTGCATTCGTTCATTGAAAGAATATGGCAAAGACGGATGCATGAACTCTGGTTGAGCTATTTCTTGCTGTGCCAAATTAATTTGGTCTATGGCCTGTGGCTCTTCTTTCCCCTCTTCTGACAAATCTGAATACTTCATTTCTATTTGCATAGCTTTTTGTTGGGCCGTTTCCTGCTGTTCCAGCTCTCTTTGTACTGTATCTTGTTCCGTTCTGCCAAAGGAATATGATATATCTGGCTGGGCCACATCCAATGGTGGTGTTTCCTGTTGCTGACCACCAGCAGTGGAAGAGGAGGGAAGCGACTGTGACTGCGACTGCTCCATTTGTGCCATTTCCCAGGGCTTTGCTCTGTCAATTGAATGTGAGGACTCCAAAGATCCTGGCTCTGTTCCTTCTTGCATTACTTCTCCAGTGGTAAATGAGAAATCCCTATTTTCTGAAGCTAGTTGTACATTTTTATGTTGCTCTGCTTCACCAATGAAACATGATGGCTCTGGACCTTCTAAGTCTCTTTGTACAGCTTCTTGCACTGTTTCTCCGAGTGAGTATGGTGAATCTGCTTGTTCCATCTTTGGTTGCAGTATTTCCTGTTGTTCTGTTCTGCCAGTGGAATATGATGTCTCTGGCTGTTCTGCCCTCATCTGTAAAGTTTTATGTTCTTTTCCAGTAGAATATGACAAAACTGGATGCTCTGACTGCAGTTGAGTAACTTTTCCTTGCACTCCTTTGGCACAGGAATACAGGCTGCCTTCAGGCCTTGAATCCTGCTGTACAGGCTGCAGCTGTTCTCCTTTGTCACCAAAATACGACATAAGAGAATGGTCCAAATCTGCTTGTGCCAATTCTTGCTGCTTTGTTTTATTTGTGGGATATGGTGAATCTGAGTGTGCTGTTTCCAGATATCCAGTTTGCTGTGTCTCAGCTCTTCTGGTGGAATCAAATATATCCAGATGCACCAACTGGAGTTCTGTAGTGTTTTCTTTCTCTGCGTCTTCCACCAAACATGATAAATCTGAAGGTACCAGTGCAAGCTGTGCTATTTCTTCTTGCTGGGCTTCTTCAGGAGAATAAGACTCTGGCTGCTCCAGTTTAAGAGGAACAGACTTTTGTTTTTCTGTTTCTTCCCTGGAAAGTAAGACCTCCTGATGTTCCATTTCCAGCTGTGCACTTTCCGATTCTTCCACTTTTTCCCTGGAAAAAGAAAAGTCTGGATGCTCCATCTCCAGCTGTGCATTCTCTGATTCTACTATTTCTTCTCTAGAATATGAGAAATCTGGGTGCTTCATCTTCAGTTGTACACTTTCTGATTCTCCAATTTCTTTGCTGGAATATGAGACATCTGGATGTTCTGTCTCCAGTTTTGCACTTTCTGATTCCTCCATATCTTCCCTGGAAAAAGAAAAGTCTGGATGCTCCATCTCCAGCTGTGCACTCTCTGATTCTTCTGTTTCTTCCTTGGAAAAAAATTCTGGTTGCTTTTTCTCCAGTTGTGAACTCTCTGATTCCTCTGTTTCTTCCATGGAATACAAGAAATCTGGCTGCTCTGTCTCCAGTTGGGTGCTCTCTGTTTCTTCCTTGGAATATGAGAAATCTAGATGCTCTCTCTCCAGCTGTGCACTTTCTGATTCCTCCACTTCTTGCCTGGAAAAAGAGAAATCTGGATGCTCCAGCTGTGCACTCTCTGATTCTAGCATTTCCTCTCTGGTATATGAGAAATCTGGTTGCTCCATCTCCAGCTTTGCACTTTCTGATTCCTCCATATCTTCCCTGGAAAAAGAAAAGTCTGGATGCTCCATCTCCAGCTGTGCACTCTCTGATTCTTCTGTTTCTTCCTTGGAAAAAATTTCTGGATGCTCCCTCTCCAGCTGTGCACTCTCTGATTCCTCTGTTTCTTCCATGGAATACAAGAAATCTGGCTGCTCTGTCTCCAGTTGGGTGCTCTCCAACTCCTCTGTTTCTTCCTTGGAATATGAGAAATCTAGATGCTCTCTCTCCAGCTGTGCACTTTCCGATTTCTCCACTTCTTGCCTGGAAAAAGAGAAATCTGGATGCTCCACCTCCAGCTGTGCACTTTTCGATTCTTCCATATCTTCCCTGGAAAAAGAAAAGTCTGGATGTTTCATCTCCAGCTGTGCACTCTCTGATTCTTCTGTTTGTTCCTCGGAAGAGAATTCTGGATGGTCTGTCTCCAGTTGGACACTCTCCAATTCTTTCATGGAAAAAAGCAATTCTGGATATTCTGTCTCCAGTTTTGTACTCTCCGATTCCTCTCTTTCTTCCTTGGAATATGATAAATCTGGGTGCTTGGTCTCCAGTTGCACACTCTCCAATTCCTCCATTTCTCCCCTGGCATACGAGAAATCTGGATGTTCTGTGTCCAGTTGTGCACTTCCTGGTTCCTCCATTTCTTCCCTGGAAAAAGAAAAGTCTGGATGCTCCATCTCCATCTGTGCACCCTCCAATTCCTCTGTTTCTTCCTTGGAAAAAGAGAAGTCCAGATGCTGTGTCTCCATCTGTGTTCTCTCTGATTCCCCAATTTCTTTGCTGGAATATGAGAAATCTGCATGCTCCATCTCCATTTGTGCACTCTCTGATTGTTTGTTTTTTTCAATGGAAAAATCAGAGTGACCCAAACATACTGCTTTATTTATAGCTGAAGTTTTCTGAGTTTCTTCTGTTTCTGTGCGAATAGGATATGAAATGCTGAAATATTTAGAATCTACCTTTTCAGGAATAGGTAAATTTAGTTTAATTCCTTGCTCCTCTGTTTCCTGAAGGGAGGAGGAAAAGTCTTGTTTGGACTTTGTTTGCTTCTCTAAGTGAACATTTTGGGTTTCCAGTGGTGGGATCTTTTGATTCTCTTTTTTGTTAGCAGAATGCAGTAGACCTGAAGGCCCAGTTTCCGACAGTGCAGTTGTTGTTGAGTGACACTCTGTCCATTGCTTCTCTGTTTCACCTACAGAATGTGGTAAAAGCACGTGTTCAGGCTCAGATTGTGCAGTTTCTGATGACTGAGGAATAATATCCCCCTGTCTTGTTTCAGACAGAGCAGAATATTTGGATTTAGCTGATGGAACATTAGGTAAGTAAGACTGAACTGTTGACTTCTGTGCTTCCCTCTCAGGATGTTCTGACATGGGTGCTGTAGGCAAAATAGGTTGGGTACTCTGTCTATCTATCTCATTAACAAACCCTGCTGAAACAGACTGTGGTGCAGAATTGGGCTGAACTTCCTGCTCCTTTGGTTCATCCAGATGATCTGATCCTGTCAGCATGGATTGGTCTGGTTTCTTGAGCACTTGTTTCTCTGATTTATCATGAGACTCTAATGAAATGGAGGTTGTTAGCTCTGTTATTGAGGTTTTGGCCACAGGTGAATAACTTTGCTGCTTTCTGGCTTCTTCAGGAGGGCAGGACTTCAGTGAATGTCCCAATACCTGATTTAGAGTCTCCAAAAGAGATTGTCTGTCTTTTCTCTCTTCATGTTGAAGAGTTGTTTCTGCACCAAATCTTGAAAATCTGCTTGGTTTATCTTTCATTTTAATAGGTTTAATATTTTCAGATGAAACATCATCTTTATTAGTAAGTCGTTTTTCAAGAGATGGTGGTGGTGAAGAATAGCCTTCATTTTCAAGTGCTGTGGGTTGTTGTCTTTGCTCCCTTCTCTCTGATGGTGTTTCAAGATTTCTATTTCTTACTCTCTTGAAAGCTTTTGGATGTGTTGCTTCTGAAAATGAACTGAACTTCTGCAATCTTTCTTTTACTGATGTTTCAAGGAACTCTTCAGAATCTCCTGAAACTGAGCCACTTCTCTGGATTCTGGTTTTCTCCAATGTTTCAGGAGCTGGACCAGTTCCTCCAAAAATTGAGTTGAACAGCTGGATTCTAGCTTGTACTGGTCCTCCAAGGACTGGCCCTACTTTTCTCAGCCTACTCTCTCTAAATATTGATCTTATTGGAGCACGTTTTACTGGCTCTTCTGCGATGTTTTCTAGATCTTCTTTGTCATCCAGCATTTCCTCATCTGTGTCTTGTGCTTCCACCTGTTCAACGTTCAACACAGAGGCCTGCACATCTCCTAGAACAGTTCTTGGTTCTTGCCTCTGCATTCCAGAAGAGTCACGTTTTTTAGTGCCCTGACGTCCCTTCATACTTGTAGCCATCGGCACCCTACCTGAAGATTTGTGCTTCCTTTTCCGAATGATCTTACCTTCATTCATAATAAAGATAACTTTTCCTGGAGGAGAACCTACTGGTGAACTTTCCATACTGTAAAGATCAGAAGTTGTACTAGTTTCTGAGGTCCAAGGAGTAGAACATCTGCTTGAGCTTGTTTCCCAGGTTATTCCACTGTCTTCACTTTGAACTGTTACCATAGAAAAGGAAGGGTTAGTCATGATGTACTGCAGCTTGGGTTTCACATCTTCACTTTGGATAAGATCTTTTAAACTAAAAACAAAAAGAGCAAAAGAAAAATAAAAAGATGTGAAAAACCACACAAATCAAATTATTGCAGTAAAATCCAAACATTTACATTAAAGCAAAAATACTTTTCGAGTTGTAAAAATATTGCATTTGCATAATTTTTGAAACACAAGCATAAGCAAAGTCATATTTCATCTGACATCTATTTTAGATAAATTTTTGTAAACCTGCGTGTTGCAAGGTTAGTTCAATGAAGGGGAGGTGTTTAAATGCTCTTGATAATGCAGGAAAACCAGTCTTTGATCTGACCTTGTTTTGTCAGTATGAGATTCAGCTGATTCTGGGGCTATTCTCCAGTACGTGGTTATAATTTAAACCTTGCATTAAACACTTATAAGATACTGGCAATGTTTTAATAGCACCCACACTTGCTTTGCCCAAGTGTGAATGATTAATCAATGCTCAAATGAGCAGAGAATCTATCTGGTAGTTTGTTACTGTCTTCTCATACATTTCATCCTCTAAGCACTCTACGTATTTAACAAAGTAATGTAGAATACATTCAACAATAAAAGTATACTGAGCCCTCCCCAAACGAAATAACAATGTCTTATAAAGCTAACTTGAAAGCTGATGATATGTAACCAGTATACTACCATCTGCTGCAATCAAATATCTCCCAGTTAAAAAAAAAGGCTAGAGAAATGCTTTCTGGAAGATTTAGAAAAAGAAACAGTCTTAGAAATAAGAGTGTAAAGAATAGCAAAAGCAATAAAAAGACATAAAATTGTTTTTTTAAAAGGAGTATTTTTAGGGTTGCAATAGTTATTCCAAAAAAAAAGCATAGAAAAGGTAACAAAAACACTCAACGCCAATATTTCTTGAGTAGACAGTAGTTCATTTAGGCAAAGCATATTAGTAGCTGATGGAAAGAAAGGCAGACTATCTGCTGGCAAACACAGAGGCTTCAGTAGAGCAGAAGTGGTGAAGTCTCTGTCACTCCCATGGAAGGATGCAAACCTATGGCCACTCAACGTCCTACTTTCACTGAACAGAGGGAAGAGTCACTTCCCAGGTGATTAGGATAAAGCAGTTCTTCAGCAAGAGTGAAGAAACCTGGCTCCTGACCATGGGATCAGAGAAGCAGAATCCGTGTGACCAACTGCCACAGGCTGCGACCCAGCACCACGCAGGTGCCAGAGATGCTTGCAGGTTGCAGAGGTGGGGGGACCTCCCTGAGGAGCAGTCAGCATCACTCCAGAGGGTGCTGAGCACCTGGCAGAAGGCAGAGCTCTTTGAAGGAGGAGAAGAGGAAATCCTGAGGAGAGCCATAATCACTCCATCAAGCAAACTCTCTGAACTGTAAGGCTTTTGTAAAGGGCACTCAGCAAAACTGGCCAGCACCTGTTGGAAACAAAAAGTTAATCCTGACACTAGCAGTGCTGTCCTTACCTTCCCTTGATTTTGCTCTCCAGAGCACAGAACAAGCAGGGCTGCCCTCTGGACTGGCCCATGCTGAGGTCTACACAGACTGATGCACAGACCATCTCCTCTCCAATGTCCTTGGTGCTAACTGAAGACTGAAGTCATAGTGCAGAGCAACAGCCTGACCAGGCAGTGGTGGGACAAGATGGCATAAACGTCCAGTGATGGGGCTTAAAGCCAGTTGTGGTGACTGCGCTGGCCTGGAGACTGTGACTGGCAGGACAGCTTGGACTAAAGCCCACAATTCAAAGTGAGTCTGATACTGCAATACTAAATAATCACATCTTAGCCAAAAAAACCCCCAAACCCACGTCTCAAACAGATACAAACCTCAGGATGTACAGCTGATTATCTTGCTATAGTACTCTCTAGCAAGGGTAGCTCTATAAGGTAAGATTTACAGGCTGGAGGAAGAGGCAAAGCAAATCTACACCAGCTTTGCTGCTAGCTTTTCCTTTGTCAGTTTCTTGGCTTAGCATTAGGTTTACCTGGCCACAACAAACTAAACTAAAATAAAATAAATCAATAGCAATAGAACTAAGGAAGCTTTCGGGTCTTATTTGAATCCACAATAACAGATGACTAATTTTTTTTTTTACATTTTTCAACTTCTAAATCACCCTTTTATATTTTTAAACCTATTTTTCTGCACTGCCTGGTGTTATTAAATAAAACTCCATGTAGAACAGAGCAGCCCTTCCACTTCAGCTGATATTATTGAATATGAATAGGCTGCCCTGGCCCTGCCTATGCAAAAAGCTTGAATTATTCACATTACTGTCTCATTTCCAAGGTTGTGGTCACAGTCCATATTCCTCTACAGTGTGATGAGATGGTCCTTTGTATTTTTAAGACCAGAATGAAAGACACATAAGTCAAGCATTTCCTTCCAATATACTTCCAAATGTTGCCTTACCTTTGTATACAATTTGCACGCTGCACAGCAGTAGCTGAAAGACCCCTCTCTAGTTGGAGGAAGTGTCTGCCATTGTAAAAAGACATTTGCAATGTTTCAGTTCCATAAATGCAGATATGAACCCACTGACATCCAGGGAAAAAAGCCAGTGGTGCCTTTTTTCCATGTAGACATTTCACACCCAATCCTGTCAGCACATGTGCTGTCAGTTTGTTATTTCACTGCTAGGACATCGACTCAAACCTTTTATAATTCTTGAAGACACTGACAACTGGTTTTGTGCTTCCTGTCATAACAGCTCAAAACCAGATTTTTCTTATCATCTCCTTCTGCTTCTCTCAGCCCTCTGGTTCTCACTACGACTTCCATGCTGTGTCCACTGGGATTTCAGGTTTCTAGTCCAGCCCAACAGGCTGGGCACACGTTCCCTTATGTATCATACGAGGGAAGAGTTTTCACCTCCCCAGCTGCCAGACCAGTTGTGTTCAGGCATGCTGAGTGAGGTCTGTCCATCAGTGCTACGCCACCACCATTGCAGAGAAATACAGCCAGCCCAGCAGCTTTCTAAAATCTTCCAGGGCCTCCCTTCATCTGCTTCACATCAGACCTTGTCACTCCTGGTATCATCAAAATTTGTTGCCGTTCGCTGCATAACACCTCGTGAGCTGAAAACAACCCAGGTAAAATGATCAAGATGTCAGACTGTGGCAGTGGCCTTCGCTGACAAGATCATACACTCCCTGTAGGCCTACTTCAGCCCTGCAAGCACAGCGCAGGGGAGGTGGAAATCGGTATTGGCGAGCTTGCCCTCCCAGTTGAAGGAAATACTTTATTTTTCTGTGTTTGTGTTTTTGTTCTGTGCATTCCTGTAGTTTCTGCGTTTATCATGCTGCCCCTTTCCCCCTACAGCAATCAGTATGCTCAGCAAGGTCTCTGCTTATTGCTCTGAATTTCTTAGGGCTACAGCTCATCCATGTCCTTCTTCAGGAGGTTTGGGAGAATTATGAGCTACAGAAAGTCACTATTTTAAACCCAGCCTTTCACTTGTTAACCTTCTGCTGACTTCCTTCAGTGTTACTGATGGCCCTTCTGGCAACACAGTGGCTCACACATTTGTCCAAATTCAAATGAACAATTATCTAAAAGCAGTAAGATGGCTGCTTGCTCTGCTGCAAAGCTGATTTTTATTAAGAGTAGCTTGGAGCCAGGACCTGGGCCTATCTCACACATTTTGTTCTGTCCCTGATGCTTGCAAATGTCTGGGAAGGGACACAACCTGCTGCAGTGCCGGTCTCTTTTCCAGACAGCAGGTCATGGCATGGCCCGGTTGCATTGCTGGTCGCAGCTTCAGATGCTGCCTGAGAAACTGCAGCCCCTCTGTGCCCCAGAGCTCTGCCCTGCTCCTGCATCCTGGATTCTCACAGTACAGGCTATGGCAGGAGCACAAGGGTCGAATAAACGCTTCAGTCTGGGTGGGAGTCTTTCTCTACACAGTGATTTAATCACTTTGTTGAGACCTAAAAGGGAACTTCTTGAAGTCTAAGTGTTATTTTAGATGCAAACTGCAATGCAGACCTTTATCAAGGGCTCAGTCAGTATTATCTAAAGGGCTGAAGAGAAACAAAACACAGAGTGCCCGGTTGCTGCTGCCAGCTGGGGCTGGTATGGGCAGCGGAGTCACCAGCTGCACCGCTCCTTGCTGCAAGACCCCCACACCTCCACATTTTGCCCCGTTCAGCTGCTCCAGCCCCTGCCCTGCTGCACTCAAAATGGCTCACATGAGGCAATGGAAAGCCTCTGCTTCCCACCGGTCTGGCCTTGCCCACACGTGTGCCTGCCGCTGCCAGCGGCCGAACGGCCCTTCCAGCCCCTTCCACCCTGGCCCAAGGCAGGCACTGCCTCATCTAGGGA